GGTGACCCCAAGACTGGAGTAACAAGGTCCAGAAGGCTGACACAGAATGACCCTTGGCCTGTTGCTAGCATGGTGCCCCCATTCCACCTCACCTGTCACCCCATCACTTCCTGACAGTGCTTGTGAGTTGCCTATTATTACTACCTTTCCAAGGGTCAGCCCTTTCCTCAATTCAAACATAACTATGTTAAGAGGAAAATACACTGGGTACAATTGATCCCATCACTTCTACTGAGCCGTGAGCCAGCGAGTCGGAATGAAGAGAAACAGCAACATGGCAGGAAGGGGAAGAAGAGGGAGAAAGCATCCTGAGTCTGAGGTTGCCAAGGAGAGAAGACTGGGTTTGAGTGGGGGATGAGCAGAGAGGGGGTGGTAGACGGGAGAGTCTCCAGGGATTTGGGCAGGAGGGTGGGATGACCGGGAGACAGAAAGTAGATGAGGAGAAATACTACTTATGGATTTTATGTCTAATAGCAGCCTCTCATGAAGTCACCCCGTATCATACATTTAGCAAGAGCTTAACACTGCATAAGAAAATATGAAACAAACGTGGCTCTCATGTGCTGGGTAGTCCCCTAGGCCCATCACTGTAATGACTTCAATGAGGCTGTCAGGCAAAACTTGCTCCTGAAAGGATTTTTCCCATGCCAATGAACATCAAGTACCTCCAATGGACTTCTTAACTAACACATAAGTAGATTCAAAGTTCTGCCTGTATTTCGTCCTCAGTTTGCCTATGGCTACAAACCTTTTCTGCAATGAGGAAGAGATGCTCAGTTTTAAGCATGCATCCTGCCATTTGGGAAGCATCGCCATTTATGAAACCGCCCACACCACAGCTTTGGGTCTTTGCCTGGACTGGTACATACAACCGCATGCTCCGACACTGGGATGTCTCTCTTCCTCCTGCCACCTGCCTGCGTTCCAGTTAGGGCAGTCTCCTTTTGTGCCAAGCCCTTCCCGTGGAAGCTGGGGAGGGTACTCCAGTGCATTGGTGCCCCGAGAACAAGTGCTTCCTCACTAATAGTTACTGGCTCGGGAAGGCTAACACTTCGAAAGAAAGCTAATCACGGGAATTAAACACAGCTTGTTTCTTTTTGAAGTTGACTTTTTTCCTGCCTCAAGGAGGGTGATTTACAGACACATTTGTCTCTCTTTAGAGGAAATTAATTCCAGTTGGCGTTCTGGGCGGAGATGAAGAGAAGAAAGAAGAAAGAATGAGAGGAGAGACTTCTCCCTCGTCGTTCACACCCACAGCGGACCCACATTGCTCTCCCTGCTAGGCCCTGCCAGTGGGATGTGGGTGGGTCCTCACACATGTTGATGCATATAAAGCAGATCAGCCAGACTGCTAATATCAGCTTCAAGGCTCCTTCATCTTTTAGGTAAAACAAATGCTTTTAAAAAATGCATTTGGCTGGGCATGAAGCACAGCAGTAGAGGGCTGGCTTATCATGTTTAAAGTCATGGGTTAGATTTACACACACAAACACACTCAGAGAGAGAGAGAGAAAGAGAGAGAGAGAGAGAGAGAACAACTCAACAGAATAGAACGGGCAATGCTATAGACCTACAATGTGCAAGTGGAGCTTCTATGAACACCTTCTGGCCTGGTCTATCTGCCTTGGGCCATCTGCTTTGAAACCTAATGGAGGCATCACATGCTGGATGCTCATTACAGCCAGTCACTATTTGAAATATCTAAGGAAGATTATATAATTAAACATTCAAGCATTACTACGTAGTAGGTGCTATTATTATTTCCAGACTCTCTTAGACCAATGCAGTGTAAGACCTCTGGACAGCTGCTGTGGCCCCTTTGTGCAGGCTGCTTTCGTTCCTGGCCCACAAATGTAAAAAGGTGCTCTACCCCACGTACGCGCAATGGAAAGCAAAAAAACATTGCTTGAGTTTATCCCATATCTTTCAAGACTGAGTCTACAAATTTGCTGCTGTTATTTGTTGCGACTCCCTAAGAAGAGTGAATGAACATTCGGAAAAGGAAGGGCTTTCACTGGGCAGTTTGGTGAAGGGTTGCAAAGAGGCAGGGAGGGTTGGTAGTATGTCCAATCTGAAGGCACGCGGAGATGCCGTAAGAGTGAATCTGAGTGACTACCACTGAACTTCTGGGTTTTATTGTTGTTTTGTTTTGTTTTGTTTGTTTTTGTTTGTTTGTTTTTTGAGACAGGGTGTCTCTGTGTAGCCACCCTAGCTCTCCTGGAACTCTCTGTAGACCAGACTGGCCTCGAACTCACAGAGATCTACCTGCTTCTGCGGGAATTAAAGGCATGTGCCACCACCGCCCAGCTGCCACTGAACTTTTAATAAATAAAACAAACAGCCACGGGAACTGATTTCAAAACTAACCAACCCCTGGATTGCAAGGTAAAAGACAAAGACTCAGAGAGATTAACAACTTGCCTGAAACCATCCACTGAGACCCAGCTCTCCAATTAGCAACCCAGGATGCCTCTACTCTATTCCAGGTCTCCAATTATCAGCCCAGAACTCTATTCTCCCTCATGGCCTTAAAAGACAAACAAAACAGCACGTGAGACTGGAGAAGTGGGGCATTGCTACTTGGCATTCTTCTTTCTTCAAAGGCATGTGACTTCTAGAGTAGGCATGTCCATCTTGTAGTCATAGGGCTGCATGTAGCCAATCACAGAATCACAAACATACTTAACACATGAGGTCTCATGTTTGTCTATAGTTTTGTTGTTGTTGTTTTGTTTTGCTTCCTGTAATCCAGTTGCTTCACTCTCAACTGTGAACTTTGAGGCTGACACAGAGTCACAATGTCAGAAGGTTGGACACACGTGGACAGATCCACTGTGCTCTTCTGAAACTGAGGCTACATGGTTGCTGCCTCTCTGCCATGGTTCTCGCCCTCCTGCTCCTCTTCCTTTATCACATGGAAGGCGCAAGTTCCCCTAAGAGTATTCATCCTGGCAGCAAAGAATATAATTTTTTCCTTTTCCCACACACATTTGGAAATGGCATGCATGAAACCACAAGGCACAAATCAAACAGACAAGTCAGAAATTTCCTCCAGCGTGTGGCAGCCTTGCCGAGCAGCATGGTTCACGACATCACCACATTATTTGTCAGACAAGGGATGCCACCCTGAGCAGACCAGTCTCCTGCTAGCAGGGGGAAATGTGTGGCTTCCAGCGGAACTGGGAAATGACGAGGGTGTCACTTTCTGCTCCCTTCCCAACTTGCCTCTAAAAATTCTCGAAAGGTGAGGAGAAGCAGAAAACAGTACGGACAGAGGAAGGGAATGTGATTGGATACTGAACAACTGATTATGAAAAACAAAACCAAACTCAGTAGAGATGGCTGAACCTTTCTCTCTGGCAGCTTAGAAAGAGAAGACAGGCTCAAATTCCTGGCTCCATGCTTGTCGTTCTTTAGGAATTTAGCCTGTGTTTCTCTTTCGCTCCCTTCATATGCACATCTGTGGACCACTTGCCTGTCATCCTCACAGCCCCTCCTTTGGCACCATCCCCTGGACCTTTCTGTGAACATCACGCACTCCAGAGTTAAGCCTGAGGGCTCAGAGGCTGACTGCCCCAGCACGATCCTTCCTCCCCAGGAGCATCGAGGTAGGCCTTGGTCACTGCTCTTTATTCTGTCCCTCCAGCCCAAGTTATTGGTTCCCAAAGAGGGTAGGACCTAAAGCAACCCTCAGATTCAGGAGCATGGATAGACTTGCCCGGAGCATTAGACATGCACCAGGCTGGAACACATGGGCTGTTTAGTATGAAAAGCACTTGCTTGAGAGTGAACTGGGACAAGAACAGAGCTCCAGGGACAGAGCAGCAGAGAGGGAGCGACTGTGTCCCGATGAAAGAAACATGGACGCCTTTGCTGGCCCTGGTAACGACAGAGTCATGTTAAAGCCTTTAGCGGCATACAGTGGGATTGCACGGAGAACACAATGCTGCTAAGAACCTTGCTCCTCGGTGTGGGAGAAGGTGCACACAGACGTCCATGCAGGGAAGAATTGGAGACGAGTCACAGAGTCCTAGCAGCAAGGAGCACACTAATGCTCCAGCCTCAGCTTTTCAGGGCCACTCTCCATTGAAACGAGCCAGAGTCCCTGGAAAAATGACTGATCCAGGACCAGCGCAGGCAATGCACAGGGTGCTTCAGAGGCAAATACCTATGATAGAGCAGGAAATGCTCAAAAGTGACCCAACAGCCAGCTTGAAGGGGCTTCCCAAGAGCAGAATCAGAACAAGCATGAAAACAAAAGCAATCGGTTTTGGTAGATGAACTAGAAATACCAAAGTTTGGGTCCATCAGGATATACAAGAACCTAGAGAGGAGACGGCGGGGATTGACTCTGTAGAAGAATGTGGGATGATGCCCGTACAAAAGCAGATGAGAAAGTTGTCATTTCACAACCTGCAGGTCAGAAGAGACACGGTTCATTGATGGATCTAAAACTGCAGAGAGACAGGCTTGAGGGAAGAGCCGTTCGTGGGCTCGCGGATTACTTGTGGATTACAAACAGAAGTGGTGTGTTTAAGTGGTGGAGTCTAGCCGATGCCACCTTAACCGAGTGATCAGGTTCAATACCACCGTGGGGACAAAGTGCCATGGTGCTGTTCCTGGTGGAACACAAGCTCCCCCAGATGGAATCCTCACTGAATATGAACACCGAGGGGAGAATAAGACAAGTTCCTAACATGGGATGTACTACAGGAACCTGGTCCCCACTTCAAATCATTGCTATGACTGACAATAAAAAAGGAGCAGAAGACTGGAATATAGTAACCTGCTGTACCCATCCTAATAGGTGACCCTTCAATGAACCCCAGCTGAAAAAAAACATTGTTACAGGGTATATTTAGAGGATAATTGGGAAATTGGGAGAGTGGACTGACTCAACACACACACACACACACATGAATATGTTTGCTGTGACTGTCATCCTATAGTCTAGTCTTTCTAATATTGGAGGCACACTAGAAAATAAAATAGCAACTTACCTCCCCAGTGACATAAAAGTTATTCGTCGCATACTCGGGGAACAACTTGAAAAACTGAATCAGTGCACTGTGAAAGAAAGAACATTCAGATTGGAGAAATGAGTCAGAGCAGACTGACTGCCATGCCTCAAAGGCTGGGCGCATGCGCCATTTGCCATTATGCACCGTCTGGGTGCATGAGCCCTGTTTGGAAGGTGTTAGCCCTGGGTTGTGCACTCCTCTGGTCTCCGGGGAGGTTTTAGTCCCGAGTGGGTAATATTGCCTTCCACGCAGATGGCTAGGCAAAGCAAATAGGTAAGCTGATGCTGCCGTGCTCAGAAGTATAAACGCTGGACATCAACATTGGAGAAAGTTCTAAACCTGTGATTGCCACTTTGGGTCATCTAACTGCTGAGGGGTCCTTGTGTCCATGATACCAGCTTCCATATACTGTTTGGCAAGTTTCATTTAAACCTCAATACTCTGTTAGGCCAAATTTGTGGGAAGGCAATAGAAAGTTCAGCTTCTTATCAACCAACGGTTGTGGGGGATGCAGACTTTTTCTACAGAGCTCCCAGAACTCCAGTGTTCTAAGAGCACCAAAGCTGAAAAAAAAAAAGGAAGAAGAAGGGAGAGAAGGAGGGATGGAGTAAAAGAAAACAACCAGAATCCCAAGGCCATTGGAGTGAACCATGCTGAAATAAAAAAAGAGACAAAAGAAAAAAAAATCCACAAAACTCAGGCACTCTAGGAATGCCTTGACCTGGCGGCAAGGCCTAAGAGGCCAGACAGGGTTTCGGGTCCCAACTTCCTGCTGAGGGACTAAAAACCATGAACCTTCCAGGGAAGATGAAAGGCAAGATGTCTCTGAGAAGCCCGGAGTGGGAGAGAGTTCAAGGGTGACAGAAAGAAAAACTCCATCAATATGACCACCGTGATCCCTGCTAGACTTAACTTTCAAAGGCTCCATAAAAATCCACTGTGTGGCATTTCAGTGCATTCTCTATTTGTTATTTATAGTTTATTTATAGTGACTTTGAGGAACTAAATTTGGGAGGCTGCATCTTGGTAGTTTCCACGTTAGGGCTGGCAGTAAACTGGCTGTAGAACAAGGGTAAAAATAGGAGCTCATTCTCCACCCTCCCCTCAGGAACCTTCAGCCTAAAACCACTTCCCTTCCTCTCTTCCTGCTGGCTGGAAAGGCACCAGCTCATTTACTGCGGTAAATTTCAAGTCTCCTGCTTTAACTTATAGCTTACTTCCTTGGTATTTGATGGGGCATTGTTTGGGCTAATAGGTTTAGCAAATAAAAAAAAAAATCAAGGCGTCCAATCAAAATTGAAGTTCAGATAAAGAATCAGTAATGCTTTAGAATAAGGATGCCCAAATTCTATCTATGACATACTGTGTGTGTGTGTGTGTGTGTGTGTGAGAGAGAGAGAGAGAGAGAGAGAGAGAGAGAGAGAGAAAGAGAGAGAGAGAGAGAGAGCCAGAGGTCTGTGCTGGCTGTCTTTTTTAATACTCTCCATCTTTGAAAGATACTTATATATAAAGAAATATTCATTGTTTATCTGACTTTCCAATTCAACTGTGTCTTTTGTACTGTATCTGGCAAGCCAAATTGACAGAGATAATCTCTCACATTACTTCTATCTGGAAAGTACTAGCGTAGTAGCCGAGGCTTTGAAAGCCAGAGTTTCCTCAAAGAAGCTATTACCATTTTATTCTCACAGTTCAGGTCTTTCCATGAACTGCCTGTCTTTCCAGAGCCTTTGCTAAGTGGTTCTTCCTCAGCAGTAAATTAGGAAAATGGCAAATTCAGTACCCAGAGCCACACACACTCCTTGCTAATTTAGCTGCACTTGAGCCGAGCACTGTTTCAATGACTTGACGAGGTTCTGCTTAAACTAAAATCAGGACTCACGTCTGCGTGCCTTTCAAAGCTTAGCATGATGCTGGTGTGCATGCGGCACAAATGTGTGCGTGTGATTCATTTAGGTGTGAATGAACCTGGCACAGAAATCGCGCATCGTCAGGTAGGGACTCTGTTGGAGATCCCTGATGGAACTGTGCCAAGGACTTCCCTGAAAAACAGAATTTTAACGGGAAGCTCTTTGGTAGCAGAATGCTGCATTTTTGAAAGAAGGAATGGCTGGAGGGACACTGCTCCTCAGATGACGTTTTGGAAAGGTCCTGTGGTGTATGTAGGGCAGAGAAGGTGCTGGAATGACAATGAGCGGCAGCCGCAGCCGGTGGCTGGAAGAGAATCTGGCCAGTTCTGGTTGAGCGGAAGCAGTATGAACTCGAGAGACAGTCACGGGGCTCCACACTGCATTGGTTTGAATCTGAAGGCCCGGACTCCAGTGTTGAAGGCTTGGCCGCAAGGCATGGAGGTGTGACTTTGGGGCTGTAACTGCCTCACAAGGGCTCTGGCGTTAGGAATAGATTCATCCACATGTAGATTTGCAGCTATTGAGAAACAGAAACTTCGGGAGTTGGGGACTTCTGGGAAGACGTATGTCCCCAACACGTCTTTTTGACAGGGTATAATTTACCCTGTCCTCTTCTTTCTCGTTTCTGACCTCCAGACCGTCAGGATGCGAGAACAGAGAAGTGTCTGCATCCCATAAGCCTCTCCGCCGACGCAATAATCCAAACCAGACCAAATCAAACCGAATTAGAAAAGGCCCAGGTTTAACGGATACAAACGCTATCGGATGGCTTTCCAGCACCCCATAGAGGAGATGGGAAAGGAAGACAGAAAAGCCACGCCTTTGTTCTGAGGGGGAGCAGTTTAAATACCCTGTGGGAGTGGTCTTGAGCATCTCTGGGGAGGGGTCATTGTTTGGCGGGCTTTCTCGGAGCGGGAGTATGAACTGAGGCAACTCTGGGGATGGGGGTGGGGAGGGACTTGGGGCGGAGCCTCCACCGGAACATTCCAGACTCTTTGAATATATGGAAGCCAGAGGCTGGAGTGAAGCCTTCACCCAATCAAATAGTTCTGGGCCTCCTCCATTCACCTCCAAGAAGGTAACTTTAGGAGCTCTACCAGGCCTTGGGCTCCAGGAGGACAGGGGCTGCTGCCAGTTTCTTCTGTCACCAACTCCAGGGATACATCCAGTGGTCAAGGGAGACCAGAAGACAGCGGCACCAGGCCAGAACTCCACATCAAAGTCGGGAAACTGCCTCCTGCCTTCATTCACAGTTTTCCAAGCCATGGCTCCGCAGCATCCTTTGTAGTGTGTGTCTGACCGTGAGTGAAGAAGTTCCTCTCTGACCACAAAGAAAGCCAGCAGAAACCCAGATGCTACATGGCTCCTTGGAAGGGCCATTCCTTCCAGGCCAGGCACTGTTCACAGAAAAATAGAACTCCATCTTCAGGGGTGGGGAGTGATGCAGGGGAGCTTTCGAAGGGAGAAGAAAGATCTGCTCTTACACACACACACACACACACACACACACACACACACACACACACACACCCTGTAGTCCATTTACTAGTTCCAAAGCGAACACCCATCTGGCAAGCTGGGGGAGAAGAACGCAGTCAGCACAGGAAACGAATAGTGTAAACTGTAAAGGAAACAGCTGAAATCGGTTTTCTGCACTAGCCTTGATTAGCTATTTTCCAGTTCTAAGAGCCTGAAGCGAAGAGAACCGAAACAGCTATAAACAACGGCTGCTTTGAAATAGGGCCTCTTCCCATGTCATGCGAGAGGAGTCGGACCACATGGCAGCAGTAAACATCCACACGGAGGGTCAACTGCTAGCTGGAAGCATCCTTGCTTCCGGCTTAGGGGGTGAGGCCCTCTGCAAAGCTCTGGCTTGCAAAGGGTGAACACGTTTCTTTAATAGAGAGCCTCCTACCCCACCCCCCACCCCGGGGGCCTTTGCTAGTTAAACAAAGGAGCTGAAGATCCTTGTGGTAAGGGGTGGGGATGGGGGTCTGACCTGAAGGAGAACACACAGTGTAAGTAAGTGGTGCTGAGAAGCGCTTGAGTGGGCTTCTGAGGACCGGCACTACAGTCGTGCCTACACAGGGAGAAAGACCGTGAAGGTGGGAGGCCCAAAGAGGTCCCTCTGGGAGAATCAGCTAGTATGTCCCAAGGAACCACTGTGTGCAGGCTCGATGGTGTAAGGGCCTAGGTATCCCTGCTGGAAACTGAACCCAAGTGTTAAAATCTTGAGGGATTTTATGTGGGAAATTAGAGAGCAGTCGTATTCTTTTCTGGGTCAGCAGAGGGAAAGAAAGAGATGTCCTTGGCAGCAAATAAAGACCAGGAAGCCAGTCCCTCGGTTCCCGGCCTGATCTGCCCCTGAAAAGAAGAGACACCCTGTGTCCTTGCTCCCCCCATCCCCAGAGATTCTGGGTGTGCTCTCTGGGTGGTTAGCAGAATGAGTGGGCAGGTGACACCGGCCATTGGGAGTCTTCTAGAAGATTCTCATGGAGCGTCAAAGGGTGCCCGGGAGCTCTGAAAGAATTTAGACTTGTTCTCTACTAACAATTTATAGCCTGGGAAAATTGGACCAAATTAGAAAGGCTAAGTTAGTTCTTAAAATGTACTAAAAATAGACGTAAGGAATGCAAGAGAATGAAAGGAAAATTGATGTGTACATATACTTTAACCAGGAACATAACTTGATATCCCTTCTCCCACTTGTTGTTGTTGGTTTTTTTTTTTTAAGTAAAAGACAATTTTTGTAAGATGAAGAAGACGGGAAAGACCACTTTCAGTCTGGAGAAGGAACGACAAACCTACAGAGTGAACTATACATCTAGACCACAGAAGGCGCAGTCGTGGGAAAGAAGACAAATGCCTGGAAAAGACGTTATCTCCGGGCAAGCACAAAGTTAGATCAAATTTTAGAGACAACTGGAAACTCCTGAGTCATCTGGGTGGACGGCTTGAGACGGGATCTTTGGCTAAAAATGTGTACTGTATCTCTACTAAGTCTTGTAGGATATTATTCTCAAACTTACATTCATAATTCACCCCTGTTGACTTTGTCTGCTGATCAGATAAACAATAACCAATGGCAAGGAAAGGAAGAGCAGAAGACACCGTGTGTGCACACACACTTGGGTGGAAGTGTTCCGCAGCACTGTAGAAGTTGGGCGATAAGGACCAATTGATAGTGACTATCACTGGGAGACTTTTCTTATCGCCACAGATGTGTGTCATACCTGTACAAGTCCTTGGCGATATCGTCCTCATTGACGGCGTATCCCTGGAGACTGTCGGTGAAGCTAAAGCCTGTGCCCACCTGAGGGGGGAAGAGAGGAAGGTAAGCATGAAGGGATGTGTTCCCTGGGGACTTTTGACTAGACCTCACACTGGGAGGTGGCCGTACTGATCCTGAAAACCACACCTCTGACTTCAGATCTCTGCATTGCTCTATGTATCCTATGTCTCATGAAGTCATCCTGCTTCCCTTGGAAAGGAAAAAATACCAGCCCTGGCTCTTTGTATCTAGATACCTCCATGAAAGATGGGGAAGCCATTATTAGTAACAGCAGCAACCAGTGAGACAGGGAATCCACTCCATCAGTGAAAGGCTATCCGCCCCTTATCCCATTGGTGACATTCAATGTTGTTTGAGATGTGAAGGGTACCACAATGTAGGCTAGGCTAGCCCAGAGCTTATGATGTAGTTCAGGTTGGTCTTGAACTCATTATCCTACAGCCCCCAGCCTCCAACGGCTGGGATTATAGGGTTGTTCCACCATGCCTCATTTTATAATGGTCGCTCATTTTATAAATCAAATTCTAATATAAAAGGGGAAAGTGTATCTATATTTTAGAAAATATACAGTAATATATTGCTTAATGGTGAGGACAACTTAAGTATTTATTCTTGTTAGTCCATCAGAGTGAAGATGCAGACAAACGCAGAAGGCACAGACTGTCACACACTGGAGGCATGTACAGTAACATGTCATTCTACTGGATACAGCAAGAAACTTCAGCACCGTGCCAGGTAGCTACATCTAAACATGGGTAATGGTTAAAAAGGTTGAAGAAAATGTAACTGACAGGAGCATCTCAGCTCCTTGATGGCCTTACAGAAACATCTTTGTGGATGTGGCCTGCTGTTGATCAAAATGCCACCATGCAGTCATGACTGTGTTATAAAAAGAAAGGGGACAAGAGGCCAGGCCTGATGCTCCCTGGCGCCCCGTGGTACTTACCGGATTGTCGATGTAAAGCATGGAAAAGGTAGTGGTCCAAGGGAAGTCTCTGGCAAGAACTGTCAAAATAGAAGAAAGAGCTGGGATTGTAACGAAGCATACCAGGCAAGGTGCTCCAGACCCCAGCAGACCCTGCCATCCTCCTGCCATCATGGCCTCCCCTCTGCCACTGTGCCACACGCTGTAAGGCCAGTGCCCACCATCTTTACCCGTTTTCTCCTCGTCTGTACTTTTGCCCAATGTGGCAAGATCTACAGCTAAGAATGCAGCTATGACAACAAAATCTCGTGAGAATTGACAAGAGAACTGGGCCCGTCTGTTCCACCTTGCAAAGGACTCCTACACCCTACACCCGGGCTCTTGGATCCTCTTCCTCCTCCCCAGTTCTGAAGAGAACAACCCCACCAAAGCTGGCGCCAAAGATTCCACAGTGACTCACAGACCAATTCACACTCTGAACACCAACCCAGGGAAAGCGAACTCTCTCCGCAGAGAGACAGAGATGGAGTCGGCCCTGAGACATAGCCAGAGGTTCTTTCTCCACCTCAGCCTCACGCACAGCATGTTGCTTTCAAGGCATCAGCTCATTTAAGTGATGGACTCATAAAGCATCCTATTCTCTTGGATAATGAGGGATATAATTCCACCATTAGGCCCGTGCAACAGGGCTCACCCAAATAGTAATAAATACCAACTGGTTTTGTACGCCAAGAATGCTTGAGTCAGCAGCTGGCTTGCAGAAAGCAGCTTAGACCCTTTCACTCACATTTGCAGGAGAAAGTAAGCCAGGCAGGACACTCACCCTGGGGAGCTCCCCCTTCAGGACAGACAGTGCCATAAAGTTGTGTCTCTATAGTCTGGAACTATTAAGCAACTCCTAGGGGTTCTTGTGTTTATTCTGAGTTAGTTTCAGAGTAGATACTGGCTGGAAGAAGGCCCATGGGAAAAGTAGTCGAAGCATCACTTACCAGTCATGTCACGTGTGATAACATAGGGCCCATGTTCTTCAAAGAGTCCGAACATGGATGAACCTCCAGGACCACCCTGAAGCCAGAGGACTACTGGGGCATTCTTGGGATCTACCTGGAGGGAACAGAGAAGCCAGTGAGCAGAAATGCACCAAGGTTGCAGAAAGCACCCAAGTACATGAAGCCTAAGTCTTTCACATCCTTGACAACATTCTAGAATGCCTCTGGCCCCATGGGTCCTACTGTATTATAAATAAAAGTTTTTCACCTTTTCCGATTCGGGATTTACGTGTGTTCCCAAATGCTGATGTCTTTCTGTGCAGTTGGCAGCATCTTGCCATCCTAAGAGAACCAAATAACTTCTGCCTCTTCCTAGTTGGCTCAGTCCCTCACACAAGTACAGACATGGCCAAAGAGTAGGTGGCTAGACTCCTCCTCAGGACACTGTGAGGAGGCTGTAGTGGGAGGCCAGACTAACTTGTGAGGGTGTCACCAGGAGCTGCAATCAAGAATCTGGAGGAAGCTACATGGGGACACAACTTTCCTGTCATCTAAGGTCTGACATAGGTTCCCTTGTGTGTTCTGAGCCTTCTCTGAGAGTGCTTCAGGGAACAGTCATTGTCTATAGGAATAGCCTTGGCACGAGGAGCTACCTCAGACCCACTCTCAACGGTCAGGACATAAAGTGCAATAACTAATGCCCTTGAAGCATTCAGATACAATAAATATGACTGGCTGTTATACCTGAGGGGAGAGTGTGCTGAAGGCCACAGTTGGGCTGGGCTTCTGGCCTGCAGGCCTATAGTCACAATCCGTGGGTAAGTGACAAATACCTGCACTAAACTCTCCACACACAGCAGTTTAGTCACCAGCTGGTGACTTAGGGACGATGCCTAAGCAGTGTGGGCTTCACTTTCCACACCTGTAAAATGAGCCCTGGTGCCGTTATCCACAACGTGTAATTGACGGGGGAGAGGAATCACTTTCCATAAACCTGGCAAGTGGCTGTGCTCTGTGTCCAGCAAATGCTCATTCCTGCTGCCAAGGATGAACACTAAGGACTTGGAGGTGAGTCACACTCAAGGCATCTCCAAGTGGAAGACTAGGAGCGTGCTCATCTTGGTGGCTTTTCTTTGATCCTTTGGCCCCCAGCATCCCAGGTCTATTTCTCCCTCCTTTATCTCCCTGCCTCAAATGCTGACATGCCACAAAAAATCAGGTCAAAAGTGGTGGTGGTGGGGGCAGGAGAGCTTCTCTGTCAAGTCACAGCAGAAACCCAACGCTGAAAGCAGCAGTGTGTCAGAGCTGCCATCAGGGAGTCCTTGAACCAGGAGTGTTGTGGGAGTAACTTCCGCTGCCTCAACCAATAGTCGCTGAAATAGGAGCCCACAGTGCAGCGGGGAGCGACTTCCTCTCCGTCAGCCAATAGTTGCTGAAATACCAGCCCACTGGGGCGTGATATATTTCTCTTTTAAAAAGAGAAGCAGATCCAGATCAGGCCCTCTTGGTTCCGGCTCTTGGTTCCGGTGCTTGGTCCCGGCTCCTGCTCCCGGCTCCTGCTCCAGCGACTAGGCTCCCTTCCTGACGGTTTATGGTGTATGTAAGTTTTACCCCCCAAAATAAATAACCCCTTAAAACATAACTGGTGTGGGATTGATTCGCTGATAAGGAGGCTCTGACTCTACTTGATAACAGCAGCTGTGGTGACCTGGCCCTCTGCTTCTTCCAGCCCCAGCTCCCTCACCTGCACCATGGTGGTAGTACAAGCCTCCCCGAGTGCTCTACTGTATGATACCCACCCTGCCCCACACTTCCTGGATCCACCGGATCCACCGTGTGCATCGTCAGACATGTGAGTAACTTCCTCTCAGAGCCTCTGCCACTCACCAGGACCTCCGCCCTCCTATACTTTGATTCACCCAGTAGCGGGAGCAAACTCTACACAGCAAAGGGTAGGCAAATCAGGCAAACAGGAAGGAAGTCATCCCCAATCTTCCCAGCTTTCTGGGAGTATGAGGTGCTGGGGTACATGGACTTGAGGATACTCAACCCTCAGGTCCTCACTAGGCTCATGTATACCAGATGCTTTTAAGCTTGCTTTTATATTAAAATAATGTGGAAATCTCTTTTTTAAAAAAATGATTTCTGCCTTGGCTCAGCCTATAGCGATTGCCATGCTATCTATGGTGTAGAGCAGGGTGGCACCCTCAGCTTTTTCCAGAAGTTTCTTATATACTGGGGGCCTGCAAGGTGACAGGGATCCTGCTTTCTTAGTCTCCTAGGCAACTAGTCTCCACTGCCCTTTTTTTCTCCCCTACCTTCCTGTGACCTGGCAGGGTTAAGGTTATCTCTAGACTCTCAGAAAAATAGCCTGGTCCTGAGAGGCCACACTACAGGACAAGGCAAACAGCAATGTGCCCAACAGGGTTCTTATGGGACTGTGAAGCAAGGCAGCCTGCATTCTTGGAATGCTGGAACACCAAGAGCCAGCAGGCCTCCAGCCTCAGCTGACCCCTCTGGGAGCCTAGCAGTCCTGGCAGCAACCTGTTCTTAAAGAAAACCCTACCAAGTGTCTTTCAGTCTTGATGAGTCCAGGAGCCTGTGTGTTTATGCCGTGCCTCGATCGTATGCTTGGGTGTGAAGGTGTTACTTAATGCTATATAGCCTGTAGTTGTTCATCGTCCGCCAAAGCATTGTGACCATGACAGACAATACTCACTATGGCCACACTAGTGGCATGGAGTTCTTCCAGATAATCATCTCTGACTTATCTATCACCTGTGAGGTGAAGCCCTTCCTCCAGGACAGAGGAGAAGTCAACGATGGCATCCTGAACAAAACCACACTGCAAACTTGGGGGCCAAGGAAAGAAGAAACTTCTGCTAATGAGTCACATGCAGGATGGAATTCAGAACTTTAAAAACATTAATCTTGTTAATGATATTTAATTCCTCCTCTGAAAACTTTAATTTTCCTCAATGCATTTTATATTTCATGTAGAGTATTGCTTTTGAAACCTTGTTACATTGACTGATTTATTTATTTGCACAGCACACTTGTGGAGGTCAATGGACAAATCTTGGTAGCTGGTCGTCTCCTGACGTGTGGGTACTGGGGGACCAAACTCACACTCTCAGGGGAGATGGTGGGCGTGTTTTCATGCTGAACCTTCTCAGCACTAGAGCATATATTCTTAACTAAGGATTTTTAAAGATCATTTTCAAAAATCCCTCTGCCTTTCCCAGCCTTACTTCCTAAAGTTGATCGTGGAGATGTCTACGGACTTACGTCTTATGGACACTCCATACACCATAGACACAGTAAAGCCATAGATCTTGCAGTCTCTGTGGTCGCTGGACCACAGGTTGTGGGCATCACTGTACAACAGTGAGTTATCACCATCATCTGCCCGCCTCCAGCAGTTCATCTGCTGGCACACACTGTCTATTCTCAAGCCTCTCTCTTGAGCTGTGAGTTAGCTCCTACTCATGCTCCCCCTCCCGGGGAGGGGGGGGGAGAGATGCACACTGGTAAAGAGGAGATACCAGAGCCACCACACTGCCAGGACTGGACTTCCAACTATGCTACTTTAGAGCCGTGTGTCCCAGGGCAGATTCCGTCATTTCTCTGCATCTGAGTGCCCTCTGCCTGGAATCGCGGGTGGTTAAGCATATGTGAGCAGCAGGTACAGGCAAAGCACTTCAGGCGGTGGCTGCTGTCTCTTTGTAACGCATCGGTTCTGATTGGTTTTTCTGATGGGTGGGAAGACAGCTAAGTGTAGCTCCATATATGAACAGATGGGCAGGGGAACACAAGATTGAGGACTCAAAGGCAGGACTTTGGGGAGGTCATTCAAACGTCTTGGACCTCATAGGTGAGTAGCCCCACAGGCAGAGAGCTATCTATTTGATGACCAAGAAAGAAAACATCTATGAGTGAATCACAGGTCTGAGTGCTAATTATCGCGAGAGCTGCTGTGAAGGGGAGGAGCAATGAAATGCGAAAGGGCAGAGGAGTCCTGGGTCTGCTGGACACATAGATAGCAAAAGAAGATGGCCGACGCAAGATGGGGCCCAAGAGGGTGAGGCCTTCTTTGGTGAACAAGGAAGAACTGTGGGAGCCGGGTGTTTAGAAGTGCCTGCCTTCCCACTGCTAGAGAACTGGAGACAAGAGGATTAAGAGTTAATGTTGGTCTGGGCCACACAGAGAGACCCTGTCAAAATGGGAGGGGGGAGGGAATGAGGGGGAAGAGAGAAGAGGGGAGGGAGAGAGAGGGAAAGGAAAGAACAGGCAAAGGGAGAAAAAGAGCCAGGAAAGGAAAGAACAAGGCCCATTTTAACAGCTGCCCTCTCAGTTCCTCTGGCGACCCCTGGTGGCCAGTCCCAATCTTGGCTACTCCTTCCTCAAGATTTCTTGCATAATGAACAGCCAGCCCAGAGGAAGCACTTTTTCTATTCTGTCCAGTAGACTTTCTACACTAGCACATTCCACTGCTTACTATCAATGACTGCCAAAGAAAATGATCCTGTGCCTTCGTGGGTTGTCGCTTGAAAGAAGCAAAATGCATGCGCTCTAAACAGGTCCTGCCCGGCCCATCACTGTCCAAGTAAGAAAGACATCAGCTATGCTCCTAGGCTTCCAACCATGTCTCCAACCAGACCGGACACCAGGCTTTACAGTCATAGACAGACAATAAGACACAGTATACGTAACTTGAAATTGTCTCTTATACATACTGCTGAAATGGAGAGTCAATACATTGGGAGCAGGGACTAACGGTACCTATTTCAGTGCGATCCACTATAAACTGTTACTGTTATAAACACCATGACCTGAAGCAATTTGGGTAGGAAAGCGTTTATTTCATCTTAGAATTTACAGTCCATCATTAAGGGAAATCAGGACAAGAACTCAAAGAAGGAACTGAACTGAATTGATGACCACAGAGAAATGTCACTTACTGGCTTGTTCAGCCTGCTTTCTTGTGCCTCACAAGATCACAGGCCAGGGTGGGACTGCTGTAGGAAATCCTTCAGCCAGTAGCCTTTAAGTTATCTGCCCTCATGGGCATGGCCACTTATACTATAAATGCCGACGTAAAGAACGCGCCCGCCC